ATCTACAGGACACGTTAGTGTCATATCAACCAAGTCGAGCGTTGCGCTCACAAAACGCCAGACGTCTGGTGGGTCCTAAGGTCTCAAAAAGCACTGTTGGCGGCAGAGCGTTTAGCTCCAAGCTCCATTACTGTGGAATCAGCTTCATTTATGTTAAGGAAGCAGACACTGTCTCTACGTTTAAGGCCAGGCTTAAAACACTTTTTCAACTTAGCATTTGGTTAGGTTGTTTTGTCCGGTCTTGGAGTTATATGGGACGCGGCCCGCTGCATCTTCAACCCTACGTTCTAGCCTAAGCTAAAACAGTCCTCTTTAGTTAGCATATGGCTAGGAAGGTAAGACTCAGGGAAGGCTAAACTCCTCAGACTGTCAGTCAAGCTACATAGGGAGCCCCCTGCTGGAGAAGTATGGTAACTTGAGCACTATCCTCTCCTCCTTCCTACTTTATCTGTTTAGCATTATTAGGATTTTGACTGTAGTTTGTTCATTGCTATTCACCCGTTGTCCCATTGTCTGTTTCATGGTACGATGACGGGATCTCTGAGCCTGGCCTCCTCCATCTATCAATCAATCAATCAATCAATCTTTATTTATAGGGCGCTTTTCCTGCACAGGGCAACACAAAGCGCCTCACAGTCCACACCACACAATGCACAAATCATCACCATTAAAATACAATTAAAAACACATATGTAATTAAAAAGCATTAAAATCACATAAGTAATTTAAAAACATAAGAATCACACAAGTAATTAAAAACAATAAAATAGTTAAAAACACAAAAAGTTACAACAATAAATAACAAGGTGTGTTAAAAAGATAAAATTCTCTAGTTGTATGCACAGGAAAAAAGAAAAGTCTTTAACATGGATTTGAACATTGACAGAGAGGCAGCCAGTCTCACATCCTCAGGAAGACTGTTCCAGACTTTAGCAAGAGAGTCTGGCTGCAGACTCCCCACCCCTCGCAGACCTCCCTGTTCAGCCCCTCCTTCAGGAGCCCCTGTTACGTCACTTCCTTTACCAGACACAAGCAGACTTCTCTCAGTTTAGGGAGACTTTGACCTGGACAGTGAGGAGCATGAGAACATCTTGGAGCCCTTCAAGTTTGTCTTCTCTTGGATTGAGGACATGGAACTCTTTTCTGTTGAATGTGTTGATAAAAGGGGTGTTTTATTGTGAATGCATAATAAATAGTTGAACGGCTTTATCATTGAGATAATTTATTCACCACAAACGGGGAATGTTCAGAATTGTATCACAGGTTACAGAACGGTAGGAAAATCAAAAATGTGAGTAGACCTATTAGGTCTAGCTAACTCTTATTCCTCTAGAAAATAATAGAAAAAAGAAATATTGGGTACCTATGTAACTTTTTTGCTGTTGCGAGAATAATATAGATGAATGGAAGTTGCAGCTCTTGACTATAATAAAGCCTCGCCATGGTATCTCCATATATATTGTCTTTTCGACGTGTTTTCATGTTCTATACTATGGGTGACATGTAGGTGGCGCTCTTGTAAACAAATGGCAACAGAATTGTTCTTTGGCATCCCAAATGCCCAGATGAAAACGCTCATATACATAATACCTGGTCACAATTTGTGGAACCAACGTCACTTTTGTTTGTTACAAAATATATACAATATGTTAAATATAAGCTTTATAACTTTATGAAGAAAAACGTTTTCAAGTCCCAGGGAGTGAAGTGACAGTAGCTCATGGCAAAGGTTACGTGACAGGGGCTCCTGAAGGAGGTCACGTGACAGGGGCTGAACAGGGAGGTCTGCGAGGGGGGGGGAGTCTGCAGCCAGATGCCTCTCGACTTTAGCTGCATAAATCTGAAAAGCAGCCTCCCCCTGTCTAGTCCTGACTCTGGGCACTAACAGGAGTCCCGTCCCTGCGCTCCTCAGAGTCCGGGCTGGTTCATATGGGACTAGCATATCATGGATGTACTTTGGTGCAAGGCCATGGAGAGACTTGTACACCAGGAGAGCTGCTTTAAAGTCTATCCTCTGGGCCACGGGAAGCCAGTGCAGAGACCTGAGGACCGGACTAATGTGGTCGTACTTCCTGGTTCTAGTCAGGACTCGGGCTGCAGCATTTTGAATATACTGCAGCTGTTTTACTGCATGTTTGGAGATACCTGTGAGCAGGCCATTGCAGTAATCCAGCCTACTGGAAACAAAAGAATGGATAAGAATCTCCAAGTCTGCCCTGGACACAATATTTTTAATTTTGGCAATATTTTTCAGATGATAAAAAGCTGCTGATGTTACCGATCCAATGTGGCTATTGAAGTTTAAGTCAGAGTCCATTATTACTCCCAGATTTCTGACCTTATTTATAGGCCTTAGGGAGAGAGACTGAAGGTGACAAATGACGGTCTCTCTTTGTTTCTCGGGACCAAAGACAATCATTTCGGTTTTGTCCGCATTTAGCTGGAGAAAATTGCATTGCATCCACTCACTGATCCGCTGGATACAGCGAAGGAGTGAGTCCACCGGTCCATGCTCTCCTGCAGTCAGTGAGACATAGATCTGAGTGTCATCAGCGTAATTGTGGTAGGACACTTTCATACTTTGAATTAACTGACCTAATGGCAGCATGTAAATATTGAACAGGAGAGGTCCCAGAATCGACCCCTGTGGCACTCCGCAGGTCAGGGCCATATTATCTGAGACATAGTCTCCAATCTCCACACAATACTTCCTTTCTTCTAGATAGGACCTAAACCAGCTTAGGGCAGTACCAGCAACACCAACCCAGTCCTCCAGTCTCTGCATGAGAATCTCATGGTCAACGGTGTCGAAAGCGGCACTCAGATCTAACATGACTAAAACAGAGACTTTTCCTGCATCAGTGTTAAGCCGAATATCATTTGTTACCTTGACTAGAGCGGTCTCAGTACTGTGGTGTGGTCTAAAGCCAGACTGAAACATGTCAAATGAGTCATTAGATATTAAAAATTCAGTAAGTTGTTGGTAGGCAACTTTTTCAAGAATTTTTCCCATGAATGGCAGATTTGAGATGGGACGGTAATTTTCAAGTACCGCAGCATCCAAACTGCTCTTTTTTAGGAGGGGCCTGATGACTGCCTTTTTCAGGGCCATTGGAAATGTTCCAGATAAAAAAGACATGTTTACTATTTGTGTCAATGAGGGTAATAGACTACACATAACAGACTTCAGAAATCTAGGAGGTAGTACATCCAGACTGCAGGTAGAGGAACTAAGACCTGTGATTATCTTTTTAACAGTTTCATCATTGACAGGTGCAAATTGAGCTAGCTCACAAAGCCTCACTGGATGTTGCATTGTTACTTGTGTTGTAGAGGTGATGGTATTTCTGATACCCTGAACCTTGTCTCTGAAGAACTGTGCAAACTCATTACACCTGGATTTGGAGTAGTGTTCTAATGGCAACTCAACAGGGGGGTTCGTTAATCTATTGATTGTTGAAAATAGAACACGCAGATTATTGCTGCAGCCTTCAATAGTTTCAGAAAAGTATAATTCTCTTGTTCTACGTAGTACTCTGTTAAACTCACACAACTTCTCTTTTAAGAGTTTATAATCACCCTGGAGGTTGGACTTTCTCCACTTTCTCTCTGCTCTCCGGCACTCTTGCTTCTGTGCCCTGACCGGGCCTGCTTTTATCCATGGGGCTTTTTGCTTATTTGTGACCATTTTTACCTTCACAGGGGCAATGGCGTCCAGAACATTCAACACACTAGAGGTGACAGAGTTAAACAGTTCATCTACAGTAGAACATGATGTGTTCTCAAAATGGATCATTCCCATAAATAGTTCACCCGTGTTTTCATTTAAGTGTCTACTTCTAACAATTTCATATTTAGCGGGTGGTCTGGTAGCAAAATACATGTTAAAAAATACACAGAAATGATCCGACAGAGCAACATCAACTACATTAACTTTTGAAATATTCACCCCTTTCGTGATAAGCAGGTCCAGGGTGTGTCCTCTGCTATGGGTGGGGCCACTCACATGCTGAGTGAGGCCAAAGGATTCAAGTATGGAACTCAGCTCTTTTGCGTATCTGTCATTAACATTATCCACATGAATATTAAAATCGCCTATAATGACTAAACCATCAAAATCTGTGCACACAACTGAAAGCAACTCAGTGAAATGATCAGTGAAACTACACCTGCGGACCTGGGAGTTCCTTAAGTCCTGCACCGGACCTGTCCACGTTCAGTGGCCGCTGGTCCACTGTGACGGAGCCGGTCCGTCTGTAGTTACGTGCGCGGACTGAGTTTTAAAGTAAAGGCTGACTTTAGTGCCGCATGCGCCACACGCGCACCTGCACGCACACACACACGCCATTCCAAACGCGCGCACCCCTTTTTCCCTCCGTTCCATTAATGCTTAACAGCCACACGCATCATCCATACTCTTGTCCCTCTCTTCCCTCAGTTACTAGTTCGCCCAGGGGTGCACACTGTGCGGGCTAGAAATACATTTAAGCATACATTCATACACGTACCGGTCTGTCGCGCTCCTCTGCATCTGTGCGCGAGGATCAAACCAGGACCATACTTCCTGGCGGGTTAAATGCGCCCTGGGAGCGTGGGGAATTGTCCCCAAGATTAAATATACTTATAATGGCCTAATGTTTCATTGTAGAGTATAGGTTTTTGTGTTGGACCAATAGGGAATGGGTCCATATATGTATTCTTTGTTTATACGTCCTATTTGTAATAATTTATTTTGCTCAATGGGAGGAGCAAAGGGGACTATAAAGGAGAGCCGTGTCTGGCACCCGTCAGTCTGCCGCTGGTTACAGAGGAGGTAACTACCTGGACTCATTAAAGGTGACCTATGTGTCCGAGTGGACCTGTTGTTTTTTTGCTAAATTCACTGTACATATGCTCTGCACTGCCTGTACCAATTTTTATGCACTTTGGGGAAAATAAAAACACGAATAATCACTGCAATCCGAGCTCGCCTGTATTTTTTCTGAAGTAACCCACGACAGATGGTGGCAGCGGTGGGATGGCAAGCCGGAAGAAAAGTGTTCGTCTACCCAAGCGCACAGGTTTGCGGTCTCAGAGCCATGTGCAACAGCCAGGGGGCGCTGGAGCAGCATGGGAAACGGACGAAGAGGAAGAGAAACCGGAAGTCAAACCCGGGCCATTCTCGGAGCCTGGACAGGATATGGTGATGTTAATGAGGGAGTTTCTGGCTGGACAGCAACGCCGGGAAGAAGGGTTGCTGGTAGAACTCCGGAGGCTGGGGAATGCTCAGTCTAACCCTCCGTCTTCTCCACCGCCTTTGTCCAGAGATCGGCCGGTTCCACACTTTCCCATTTCACGTGCCCAGTCTCAGGCATCATTGTCACTGTCCGACAGGAGCCCAATGATTGGATTACCGACCCCTGCTGGCCAGCGAATGCAGTACGCAGGGATTCATCAGGGAGGTGATGAGAGTGATGAGGGTGAGGAGCAAAGGCACCAAGCTCTAAACCCTGAAAACCGACCCAGACGTGACTGGAGGCATTATAATGAGCCAAAGATACCACAATACCAGAGTGGTGAGGACATGGAGAACTATCTGTTGCGTTTTGAACGGATAGCAAAAACCTGGAAATGGCCAGAAGATGAATGGGCGTGTCGACTCGTTCCTCTGTTAAGCGGCAAGGCGCTGGAGGCGTACTCTGCCATGGACGAGGAGAGAGCCCACTGCTACCGGGACTTAAAGGAGGCCCTGTTGGCGAAATTTGATATTTCACCCGAGACCTACCGCCAGCAGTTTCGCTCCTCTACTCTACCATCTGGAGAGAGCCCCACGGAGACCTATCATCGTCTCAGAGGTCTCTATCGTCGCTGGATACGGCCCGAGGAGCGGACCAAGGAGGAGGTCGGCGAGGCAATCATCATGGAGCAGCTGCTGCGAGTTTTCCCCTTCGAGGTGCGGACCTGGGTGAAGGAGCGCGAGCCCGGCGATGGACTCACCGCTGCAAAGTTGGCCGTGCAGTACCTCAACGCGCGCAAAGGAGGACCTGCCCGGATCGGCACTACAGCTCAGCGTGGGCCAGCTCAGCCGCTTCTCCCCAGACCACCCCGACAGGACAGCTACCCAGATCGGCAAGGTACCACCAGCTCTACCCCAAACCAACGAGGACCTGGTAAGGATCTTGTTTGTTTTTACTGTCAGCAGCCAGGACACAAAGCATCCGTGTGCCCTGTGCGCAAAGCAAAATTTAGTGGGGCATGTTATCCACCAAGACCAGAGTCCGTGAGCTCTATGGAAGCTGAAGGTACTGTGCAACGTTATAAAACTGTACTGATCAATGGCAAAGCGATTACAGCATTGCTTGACACTGGCAGCTTTATGTCGTTGATCAAACGTAGCTCAGTTCCAGTTAGCGGCACGGATTACAGCCAGACTGTGGATATTCAGTGCGTGCATGGGGATAGCCATCCCTATCCTACTGTGGATGTGACTGTGACTGCCTTAGACCAGCCCTATCTTGTGAGTGTGGGTGTGGTTGAAAACTTACCAGTGGATGCTATTCTCGGTTGGGATTTACCAGTTCTCATGGACCTGTTGAACAAAAAAGTGTCTGAGGAAAGTGACTCTGGGGGGAATAGTAACTGTTCTATGTCTATGGCATGTCCTGTTTTAACCCGAGCTCAGGCAAAAACAGGTGTCCAGCCTCTGCCGGACTTGGACAGTAGTCTGTGTGAGGGGGGCACCAAGGGCCCCAAGAAGTCCCGCCGTCAGAGGCGGTTTGAAAAACAAATGTGGTCTGCTAGTCCTGAAGATGTTTTACCTTTGTGTTGGAATGTGCCCGACAATGTTGGTGAGTTACAGCGTAAAGATGAAACATTGAAATGTTTGTTTGCTAAGGTGGGCAAGGATACAAAGAGTTGTCTGGGACGGGAGAGGTTTGTCATTGACAATGGGTTGCTATACAGTGAGGGTAATGAATGTAAACGTCTGGTTGTTCCCCTTAGCTGCAGAACTCTTGTCATGCACGTAGCACACACTGTTCCATGGGCGGGTCATTTGGGGCGCCACAAAACATTTTTGCGCATTAGCTCACGTTTTTTCTGGCCTTCAATGTATGCAGACATCCAAACGTACTGCGCGACCTGTCCTAGTTGTCAGAAAACATGTTCTGTGCGCAAATCTGATCGTGCTTGTTTACAGCCTCTACCGGTAGTGTCTACTCCTTTCCGGAGGATCGCAATGGACATTGTGGGGCCACTGGTGAAGAGCAGCAGCGGCCACCAGTACATCCTAGTCATATCGGACTATGCGACCAGGTTTCCTGAGGCCTTCCCGCTCAGAACAATCACTGCCCCGGCTGTTCTTCGAGCTCTCGTCCAGCTATTCTCAAGAGTTGGATTACCGGATGAGATTCTTACGGATCAAGGCACCAACTTCACGTCCCGGTTGATGCACCTTTTCCAGCAGCAATTGGGGATCAAACCTATTCGTACCACCCCATACCACCCACAAACAGATGGACTAGTGGAGAGGTTTAATCAGACACTCAAACGCATGCTACAAAAGTTTGTGGATGACACCGGTAGAGACTGGGATCGGTGGCTTCCGTTTGTTTTGTTTGCTTATCGGGAAGTCCCACAAGCGTCAACTGGATTTTCCCCATTCGAACTGCTGTATGGCTGGGATGTTCAGGGGCCATTGGACCTTCTCCGCAAACAATGGGAGGGTCCCTCAGCCAAACAAAATGACCGCAACATCGTGCAGTTCGTCTTAGAGATGCGAGAGAGACTGTCAAAGTATTTGGAGGAAGCGGAGGAAAACCTGCGAGACGCTCAAAAGTCCCAGAAAGCCTGGTATGACCGTCAAGCGCGCCGTCGGGAGTTCCAGCCAGGTCAAAAGGTATTACTCCTTCTACCCTCATCCACCAATAAGCTGCTCACAAAATGGCAGGGGCCGTATGCTGTGCTGCGCAAGATGGGTCCAGTCACATACGAAGTCCTACACCCCGAAAAGAAAAGGCCCAAACAGACCTACCACGTTAACCTCCTAAAGGAGTGGAGAGAACGGCCTGAGAAAGCAACGGCAAAGGTTCTGTTTGTCAGACAGCTGGAGGAAGCGGACGATGAAGATGATGTGCCGGATGTCGGACTAGAGGGATTAACAAAAGCTGCAACCCCGATCTTGGCTCATCTCTCTCCTGAGCAAGCTGCCCAGCTGTTCCAGACCTTCAAGGAAGTCTCGTCCCTCTTCAGTGCCACTCCCGGCAAGACCACCATTGTGGAGCACCTCGTTCGGCTGAAAGACGGGAGACCCATCCGACAGCGGCCCTACCGTGTGCCTCAGCAGCTCATCGGAAAGCTCCAGGATGAGATCCAGGAGATGCTGAAACTTGGAGTCATCGAACCCTCCAACTCAGAGTGGAGTAGGCCTGTGGTCATTGTTTTTAAAAAGGATGGATCGCTCCGGATATGTATTGATTTTCGGAAACTGAACTCTGTTTCAGAATTTGACGCATATCCAATGCCAAGAATTGATGACTTGCTGGAGAAGATTGGGGCAGCTAAGTACATCACCACTTTGGATCTATGCAAAGGATATTGGCAGGTGCCCCTCGAGAAGTCATCACGGCCCTGCACCGCATTCCAAACCCCTGCTGGACTGTTTCAGTTTACGGTGATGCCGTTTGGACTGCATGGAGCCCCAAAGGGTGTGGGCATTGCAGCGCGGCCTACCTCGATGATGTGGTTATCTTCAGTGAGACCTGGAGTGACCATGTTCAGCACCTTTCCCTCGTCCTGAAGAAGATTGAGCAAGCTGGGCTGACACTAAATCCAGCTAAATGTGAGTGGGCTCGGCAGGAGACTCGGTATCTTGGCTACCAGATGGGTCGAGGAGAAGTAAGGCCCCAAGTGGACAAGGTCAAAGCGGTCCTGCAATCTCCTAGGCCACGCACCAAGAAGGAAGTCCGGTCCTTCCTTGGGTTGGCAGGATGGTACAGGAGGTTTGTGCCACAATTCGCAACCATCGCTGCTCCCCTCACCGCACTCACGGCCAAGAACCAGCGAAATCCGGTAGTCTGGACCGAGGACTGTGAGAAGGCTTTTGCCACCCTTAAAGCTCACCTGTGTTCGTCTCCTGTGCTGAAGAGTCCAGACTTTAACATGCGCTTTCTCGTCCAAGTGGATGCCTCCGCTGTGGGCCTTGGAGCAGTTCTGGCTCAGGGGGAGCCGGGAGAAGAGAGGCCAATACTCTACTTGAGTCGGAAACTCCAGCCACGAGAGACACGCTACTCTGCAATCGAAAAAGAGGGTCTGGCCATCAAATGGGCGTTGGAGAGTTTACGCTACTATTTGCTGGGGCGAGAGTTCGATCTAGAAACCGACCACCGTGCCTTAACATACATCCAAACCATGAAGGATCACAACAGCCGTTTGACCAGGTGGTACCTTGGTCTACAGCCCTTCCGGTTCTCCATTCGACACCGTGCCGGTAAGCTGAACATTGTTGCGGACTACTTGTCCAGGTTGCCCCACAGTGTCGACCTTCCGGAGGGGAGGGATGATGTGACGGAGCGGGTCCGTCTGTAGTTACGTGCGCGGACTGAGTTTTAAAGTAAAGGCTGACTTTAGTGCCGCATGCGCCACACGCGCACCTGCACGCACACACACACGCCATTCCAAACGCGCGCACCCCTTTTTCCCTCCGTTCCATTAATGCTTAACAGCCACACGCATCATCCATACTCTTGTCCCTCTCTTCCCTCAGTTACTAGTTCGCCCAGGGGTGCACACTGTGCGGGCTAGAAATACATTTAAGCATACATTCATACACGTACCGGTCTGTCGCGCTCCTCTGCATCTGTGCGCGAGGATCAAACCAGGACCATACTTCCTGGCGGGTTAAATGCGCCCTGGGAGCGTGGGGAATTGTCCCCAAGATTAAATATACTTATAATGGCCTAATGTTTCATTGTAGAGTATAGGTTTTTGTGTTGGACCAATAGGGAATGGGTCCATATATGTATTCTTTGTTTATACGTCCTATTTGTAATAATTTATTTTGCTCAATGGGAGGAGCAAAGGGGACTATAAAGGAGAGCCGTGTCTGGCACCCGTCAGTCTGCCGCTGGTTACAGAGGAGGTAACTACCTGGACTCATTAAAGGTGACCTATGTGTCCGAGTGGACCTGTTGTTTTTTTGCTAAATTCACTGTACATATGCTCTGCACTGCCTGTACCAATTTTTATGCACTTTGGGGAAAATAAAAACACGAATAATCACTGCAATCCGAGCTCGCCTGTATTTTTTCTGAAGTAACCCACGACAACTGCGTTTAGCTCCAAGCTCCATTACTGTGGAATCAGCTTCATTTATGTTAAGGAAGCAGACACTGTCTCTACGTTTAAGGCCAGGCTTAAAACACTTTTTCAACTTAGCATTTGGTTAGGTTGTTTTGTCCGGTCTTGGAGTTATATGGGACGCGGCTGTAGCCAATAATTCCCTTTGGCTGACGTGTCCACAATTTGGTACAGAAATCAGACTAAAGATTCTCCAAGGTTAACATCTGCATTTAATTATCTTTACAATCAGATACAGAATATTCAACAAAAGTGCTCCTATTCTATGCCTGCTCTCTCCCTGTGCGTTGCCCCTGTCCTGTCTGACCTCCAAAACCCTCCGAGGGCACATATACGGGAGACTTCCGATGACGTCATCCATATGCGTCCAAGGGTGGAGTTTTCCGGGTGTGCTGACGTCCCTTATCCACTGGGAGGCGTCAGAATGCCGTTGGTGAATCTCCCAGTCTGCCTCAAGATCAGGTTCTGAACTTTTGTCCTCGTCAAAATGTTTATTATTTAAAGTTAATAATTCGCCCTGTTTAAACAGCATTTTATCTTTATGACTCATGTCTGATCATCCTGTGTCCTTGGGGTTTTTCCTGAGTGCACAGAGGTCTTTCTGGCTATGATGTTCAAATGGTCAAATATTAAAATATACAACAGTTCCCCTCTGTTGACCTATATTAAACCAATTTAGGTCACAATCTTTCAATATCCCTTCTGGGTGCCAGGACTGGGGAGCTCGTCCATCATCGCCTTGGTTCTTGGTTCTGGCTCGTTATCTGTGAAGAGTTAATACAGAAAGACAAACAACACACAACCACATTCGAAACATTCCTTCACTAAACTCTTTGATGACCACTGCTGTCATTCTGATTCTTCTTCAACCTCGTCTGTAATGTATGCACTAAAACTATTCACTATAGTTTAAACTATTCTAATCTATTTACAAATATGTTTGCATATTTTGCTTTTATTGAGCCCTATTCTTAAACATATGTTTTTATCTAATAAATCTATCTATACTGTGGTTTGCTTTCAAATGTTTTTGAATCTGTGTTGGTTCTAATCGATCTCATTAATCTATCTCATTAGCTTTTTGCATTGTCAACATTCACCTATGTTTGAAACAAGTGAATTTGACAGTATCTAATAAAACTGTGCATAAACTGTAATGAACTTTATCTACCTTTGAAGTAAATACTTTTAGACATAATATGAAGGAAATGGTCCTTTTACCGTTTGATATTAGCCTTGGCTAAAAATAATCTCCATTTTGAAAGCATCTATGGTTGATGCATTTATCTATTCCTATTTTTACTCTATTGTGACTCTAAAGCTCGGTTGCAGCTTGAGCAAAGGCATATTCCTTGTTTGTAACTTCTGTCACTTTTAATATCTCTAACATTATTCTGATTCTAATATTATCTGCTCTATCAGAGATAACATTGTATGGTACTATTTTAACTCTTATGTGGAAATGTGTTTATGAACAACAAAGGAAGGACAATTCTACTTTTTTACTATTATTAAAACGCTACAATACTCATACTTTATCATTTTAAAACATTTTAACTGTTGCTCAGTGTAACCCATATTAAAATTCTGGTTGCCTCCCACTGTATTATTTTCATTCCTACCGCTCCTCGTTACCATAGTAACGCTAGTCTCGCGATACTCCGCAGGGCAGTCTCGAACGCAACTTCCAGTAGTCATAATCAGAGTTACTGCGGCTCCACCGGTAACTGGGTGGGATGCCAGACTGAGTTGGCTGCAGGTAGATGCGTATGATCATGTCTCGTTTGTCATTCATGTACTCATACCTTGTGTTCCTCAATCAGATGCCTCTGTCCTTACTGAGCACATTGTGTGTTTGTGTGCTCTGTATTCTGCAAGGAACCGGTGAGTCATGTTAACCGGCAGCTAGCCGATGCTAATATTTTTATACTCACTGTGATAAACTGTGTGCTCAGATTGCCTTTGATAGAGTTTTTTAAGTTAGCGACCTTAAAGTATATATTGTGTCCGATCAGTCACGCAAATATAACACAGATAGCTGCAGTATTACGTGTTTAATCATGTATGTTAATGGCGCTAGCAACAGCGGCGGCGCTAGAAGCAGTAGCGGTGCTAGCGGCGGCCATCTTGTGTATGTCATCCATGGGATTGTATTGATAATATGT